GCCTTAATTGTCAAAAAATTGCAATTTTAAAATTTGTGTTCGGGTGATGCAATACTTTTGACCGCCACTGTATATATCAATCTTATTAAAAATATAAATATTTTGTGGTATGATTTTTGTTTGTTAAATTATGGTAATTGCATCATATTGATATTTTCACGAAAAATTCAATTCTGATAGTGAATTCAGTAAAATATCAATATAAAACATCATGAATGAACAATTAGTAAGTGGGTAATATTTTATATTATCTATATTTATTATATTTATTAGTTATAGTTTTATATAGTAATGTTAACTATATTTTTTATATTTATTATTATTTATTAAAGATAAATACTGCAATTAAAAAAATGGCACAATTGAGTTGCAATTTGTGATGTAATTAAATTTACTTATGACACAATTAGGTTTTAACTCAATTGAAATTTGAAAGTAATTATGAGGACTATTTTTAGTTATATTTATTATTAGTACTTTAACTTAAATAAATATCATGTATTTTTCTCTTGAATTAAAAGATAACTTGAGATTTTAGGAAAAACTAAGAGTTTAATAAAGGAATCTTATCAAATCATTTGCTATTAAGTTTTGTCGTGTCTTCACATAGTCGTGATTGTTTTAAAAGTATTGCGTTTAATTCGACGTATTGAATTAAAGCGAATTGTTTTCTTTTTATAGCAACAATAAACAAAAAGACTACTTTTAATACGATTTAAAAAATATGAATATTTGTAAAAATCTTTATCTCGCTTGTTTTTATTGTAATAATGGTCACGTCAATTTTACATAAAAACAATCGAACATGATCAAAATCTTAGGTATGTTGAATGAATAATTGAGTATTTTAATCATTGGCCGATGAGTTTGTTAAAGAATTCTTTAATGCGGTCTTCCAATTTTCTTTTGAAGGATCTTGCCATGTCGAGAAATCTTTCCCACAATGTCGGTGGTGCAGGCGATGGTGCAGGAGTTTGTGGTGTAAGAGGTTTTGATTGTAGTTGCGCTTTTGATCATTTGATATTTAAAAAAAAAAAGGAATGTCAAAATATTATTCTCGTAAATAATTAAATAAAAGGCTCTCTTAACTCACATATCCATTGATCTATTATACCTCTACGATTTGAATCGTATTCTCTCTGATTTATGAATCCTGCATCAAAAGCTTCCTTAAGTTCTGTGAGAGCTTTTCGAAGACTCATGTTTTCTGATTTTATATAAAAGGTACTATACAAATGGTACTATATGGAATCCTGTTTTCTTTTATTTATAAAAATGTAGAATTCCAAATAGCTAATGTACGATAAAATTATGTAAATATGACAACATAATGTGTAATAATTTATAATGGCGTTAAAATAACAAAATAATTTCGTAAAGGTGAAATCATATTTACCGAACAGTTTAAAATAATGGAATTTCCATTATATAGACAGTAAACGTCGTCACCAAAAATCATCACAATGGATCTTTGTTCAAATTTAGAAGAAAACAAACAACGATTTGATTCTGGTAATATTAATGAGGATGAATATAACGAACGTCGAAAGTCGATCCTAAATAAATGGAAGGAAGACATCACCACGAATAAGTATGGATCTTCTTCACACTCTCGTGGTAAGTGACAACAAAAGAATGTTTTCTTTATTATTCTACTTAAAGTAATAGTTTACCATTATTCGAAAGAATCAGACTTGTATGGGGTTCTCCAATTAACGCGCAGCGCAACTATAGCTGAAATTAAAACAAACTACAGGAAACTCAGTCTGGAGTACCATCCAGATAAGAATTGCGGTACTGAAACTGAAGAGGTAAAACATTTGATTTTATTTATTTATTTATTTTTTTTTTTTAACTCCTTTCGCTTATTAACTCAATATAATAATTACAGTGGTACAGGCTTTCAATGGCATATAAAATCCTCTCAGATGAGAACAGGCGCGCTCTTTATGACCGTTACGGAACAATTAATGACGGTAGGTCCCAAGACCCTTTGTTTCATTTAATTATTTCCGCTAATTTGAATTGATCTTAGTCTATGCAGGTAAAGCATCGTTCAATTGCCATGTAGGAGGAGACTCCTGGAAACCCTATATTGGCGATTTGGAAAATGGCTTCGGACTATTCTCATATGTAGATGATAAGAGTTTACCTGAACTAAAATACATAACATCAACTGAGCAAAAAGAACGTCGTCATCACATTCGTATATCCAACATTGTCAATTACTTGCAAGATAAACTTTCTCGATTCCCAGAGCAAGACAATTCTTCAGAGTTTGAATCGTTTAAGCAAAGTCTTCGCCTAGAAACTCTGAAACTTGTTGAGGAACCTAACGGCGAGAATTTACTATCCTTATTAGGTAGTATTTACGTATCAAAGGCCGAAGCCCATCTAACCGGAATTTATTTGTTTGATCGGCTTAATTGGATTATAAAATTGATTCCAACTTTGAGTGAGATCTTTGGAACGGGAGATGAGGTGAAAATATTGTTTAATTTTTTCTACTAATTTTATAAATCACCACACAATTAAAGATACATTTGAAAAATCTTAGGTCACAAAAGTAGCTTGGCTTTTTTCAAAGTTAGAAATATCTTCTATCGCACGTGAAACCTGTGAGAAAGCCTTAAATAACAAGGATTACGATAACCATCGTCTTGCCGATTCACTTAAAATCTTGGGAGGTTTATGGGTACAGACAAGCGAGCAAAATTCGACGTTTATTTGGAAAAATACAAACATAAAGATGTTCTTGGCTTTGTGTCTATTTATTGTTCCATTAATGTGTGACAATTTCAGAAATACATATTAAAATCAAAACCTTTAGTAAAGTTTAATTTATTTTACTCATTTTAATAAAGGGGAATAATGTCAAAGTAATATACAAATAAAATTTTATATGAAAAATTTTAAGGGTTCTTTTAAAACCATTTTTGATGATTTTAGGATATTCTGGCCTTTATTACATAAATCTATAAAATAAATTTGTAAAAACCAGAAAACGGTTATGTTCTCAATGTCAAAAAAAAAGGTATTAATAAAGCTCCAAAAATTATTCTCTTTCTGCAACATGAATTGAAATTATAAAAATCTAAGTTGTGACCATTCAAAGCAAAAGTTCTGATAAATCGGTAAAATGTCCCGTATAATGGGCGTAAATAGAGGTTGGACTCGAGTCAGATTTTTATGACTTGACCTTCAACTCGAGTGCAATATGCGTTAGTAAAAAAGGGGATTTTCTTTAATTTTAATTTTCTATTGACTACTACCCATATGTATTGCAATTGATTTCTTTAGAACTTTTAAAATTATCCGTATATAAAATTAGCTGCACCCTCCAAAATAACATACCGCAGCATACCATTATAATGTTGCAATTGTGTTTTTTTTTTTTATTAGTTATAAAAAATAAAACTAAACATCTTTTTCTTATTATAAATTTGTTATATTTAAAAGAAAGTTTCTTTAAATGAAATCTATTACAATTTTGTTGAGCCAATATTCCCATTACAGTTACTCAAATCATGTGTAGGTATAACTAACTGCATGTTGAAATTGTAATAAATGATTTTTGTGGGAAGGACCTCACATAACTACGTTAGCAATCGAACGCAATGTCCTTTGTGTCGCCTTTAACATACTTTATAGCCTTACAAAGTTCAACTATGTAGAGACAGTGTAAAATATTTCAAGGACATGAATGGAGAAACATCTTGCCGAAGCGAGTTGTTTATTTAACAAATTATCAGCTCATATATAATAAAATTTTGAAGATGAAAGGGGATAATTAAAGTTAGGGTAAAGACTAAATTTGAAATGGATGTATTATGCCTCTGCACAAAGTGTACAAAAGACGAAAATTTAGATATCACGTGTATCAAACAGATATATCTTATGTGCCATTTTCTGATTATCCGACTTCGGAATATACAATCAAAGCAAAGAAGTATATTATGTTGATTAAATTATTGATCTAGAAAACATTGAATGGGAACTTACGAAAGGTATCCTTTGAGATACATGCATTTTAATAAACTGAGTTATTGTACACTTTCAGATCGCAGGATCCTTGACGGCGTCGAGCCTAAATAAAAAGTTTTTAAGAAATTAAGACTAATAGAGAATTCAAAGAAATAATGTTTAATATTCTCTATAGTTTGTAAGCCTTATTGAAGTTGCATATTACCATTAAATCTGCCTCAGGCACATATTCTAACAAATATCGCACATTTTAGGCTAACATTGATCAAATTCGTTTGCTAAACAAATTGAGGACACATATTTTCACCATTAAATTAAGAGATTCTATAGCAATAAATAACTTATTAAACATGAGTTATATAAAAAGTTAAACTAAAATTTTAAAAGTTTTTCGAATAAATATGTTTATCTTAAGTCTTTCTATATTAAAAAGTGCTTCTAAAAATTCTATAAAAATTTTATTATTATTCAAATTCTAAAAAGGCTAATCTTAATAAATAAATTTATTAGTAAGAAGAAATTCTAAAAATTTAATTATATTAAAAGAATCAGAGATAAAAAGAATTATAATTCAATACTTTTTAAATTTTATTATCAGATAAGTAAAGTTTAATTTTAATAAATTTTAGTATTTACAAAAATTTGATTTTGTTTATTAGGTTTGAATTTAGATTTAGATTTGAATTAAAATATGATTATTTTTCTTATAATTACAGATTTGAAAACTACTAAAAAAAGTAACTATAAGAAGATATACTTATTCCTTAAATTTAGAGCAGACAAATTTGTCTGCAAACATAAAAAAAAAGTATTAATTTTTTAATAAAAAATAAAATATTAATATTAATAATATAATTAATATAGGTTAATATATATTTTATTAATTTTGTTAAAAGAAATTTAAGTTTATTAAGAAGTTTTTTAAATAATTTAATTTTTAAATTAAGTTTTGAAAAATTTATTATAATAAAAATTTTCTTAAAATTCATATGTTTGTAAATTAATTAAATCACTTTACTATTAATAAAAGGCATAAAATTTCTTAATAAATTATAAAAACTATAATAATTAAAGTTATTCTTCATAATAAATTTTATAATATTCTATTATGATTAATATCATTAAAAATAAATGTTAATAAAATGGTCAAAAATCAATGATAAATTTTTTAATTTATAATTTTTTTAAAAATTACTAATTTTTAGCTTATAAATAACCTTAAGTTATTTATTATATAATTAAAAAATAAAATTATATATATTTATAAAATTAATTTAAAAAAAAAAAGTTTTAAAAATTTTAATTTTTCATAAAAGTAAATTAGAAGATAATTTATAGTAAATAAGTAGGCAAATTTGATTATGAACCTTTACAGTTTAAGGAATAAAAGATTTTATTATATTTATAAAATTTTAATAATAGTGTAATATATTAATAAATATTAAAAAAAAAATTAATTATTTACAAAATTTATCTAAATTATAATACTAATTCTAATTCTAATATATTATATAAAATGAATATTTATATAAAAATTAATGTTAATTACTATTTAATAAATTTTTCTTTTATATATTTCTAATTATTAATATAATATATTTATAACTTATATACTATTACTTTATTATTTATATCTTTGTATATAAATATCATGAATATATATTAAACATTACTATTTTATTAATATAAATATATTAATAATTACAATAGTTATAATTATATTTCTATTATTATTTTTTAAAAAATAAACTAAACTAAAAATTAAAATTAATTTCTTATAAATTTTTTAATAAATTTAAATAAATATTTTTAAAGTTATTAATAATAAAGTCAAAAATTATTTTAAATATAATAAAATTTATATTATTAAATAATTTATTTTATAATTTATTTTAAATTTCACAATTAAAAATTTAAATTTATGTAATTTTATCAATTATTAAAACTAAATTTATTTATTTATTTATAAAATTAGTAAACTTTAAAATAAATTTAAATACTTTTAATATTTTTATTATAATTTATTATAGTTTTTATTAATAATATTTAATTAATTATATTTTTATTAAAAAAGATAAAGATTTATTATTTAATTTAAATAAATATATACACATTACAAATATTATATAATATTTTTTAATTTAATAAATAATATAAATACTTAAAAAAAAGAAATAAAAAACATAAAATTTATATAATATTATTTAAAGTTATATTTATTTAATATAATTATATGATTTATTAATTATAAAAAAATATATTTATTATATATAATACAATAGTAATTATAATAAATTTATAATTATTTATTTTAACAAATTATAAGGCTAAACTTTAATATTGTAAATAAGAAAAAGTTTATTTAAAATTAATAAAATTTATAAAATTAATGAAGCAAATAATTATAATAAAATAAAATTAACTTTTTTTATTATTATATTATTATCTTTTATATATTTATTTTAGCTAGTAATTCTATTTATTATTAAATCTTTATTATTTTTATTATCTATATTAATAATAATAAAATTATTATTATTAAATAAGAACTTTTATTAATGTATTTTATATAAATAGGGTAGGTTTAATATAATTATAAAAATAAATATATAATAAAATAATACTTTACAAATCATAAATTTATTTTTTTTACTTTATAAAATAAATTTTTTTATTAAAAAGTATCTTGCTAATTAAATTTAAAACATAACTAATAATATATTTAAAAAAGTGTGAAATTATATAAAGTAATTATTTAAAAGAATATTTATATTAGAGGTCTGAATCGGTCAAAAATTTAGTATTTGATTAATCAATCATTCATAAAATTTATAATCGATTATATTCAAATTAATCGTTGATTAATGACGATTATTCAAATTATCCAGATCATCTG